CACTGTCATTTGGTTCTGCCTGAGAAATGATTGCCCACCGCTGCGCTGATCAGCACAATCCCTTTACAGTTTCTCCCCCTTAATTTTTCACCATGCTACAACTTGGAGGAAAGTTTAAGAGCCTGATTCTTTTACCTTGTAGTTCAAAGAGAGAACTTGCATCTGTTGCTGTTTCTGAAGGTGCCTGGGTAATAGGTCTCAGATATGACCTGTAACCTTTTAATATAGAGGCCATGAAACAGAGAAATGCCTCCTGGATTTCCACATCTAACAGGTGCAGTTTTGATCCTGAATGAAAATCATAATCATTCATAGCAAGCTCCATTAATGCATCATCTCTTGGTCTTTGTTGCACTGTGAATAAAAATAAGGCTGATGTTTGGAAACTTTCTCATGTTAACAGTTCATTTTCCACCCTGCTGTACAGGGCTAATTTCCCCCCCTACATTCATTATCTTACCTTGTTACACTGATGTTGCACCACACTTTCGGGGTATGGTTTGAAAGTCCACAACATACAGACACTAACGAGGCAGGTTTAATTTTGCTTCAAGAGCTAATACACCAGAAAATTAAATATCCTAACTATCTCCAGCAACAGCCTAAATACTTCATTCTCTGGCTAATTTCTCTGCGACATGGGAATAGCCAAGCCAGAGGATCACCCGTTCCGTGTTCGCACTGGCTCCATGGAAGCATATCAACCAGCAGTATAAAGGTGCAGCAGAGGCAGAAAGATGGGGGGAATGAACAAGAAGCAGGAAGAGGGAGATTTGGCAATGCTCATGCTCCATCATGGGCTTGCTGCTAGTTCGCTTGACGTGTATAAATATATTCCACTGAATATAGTCTTTTAACTATGGCAAAGTAGCACACCAATCGTGAGACTAACATGCACGAAAAAGATGAGACAAGTGCATTTGCTTTTGCAGAATAGTAGTTGCTATGGAAACAATGGCAGAGTTGGTCTGGGTAAAACCTTAGTGACATTGGCACTGTGAAGGACAATTTACTGTGAAGGATTTTGAAATGCGTGCATCAGTTAATGCAATAACAAGCTTAATGGTGAAATCTGTCAGGGACCACTTCCACACAACTCTCTCTTATTTTATTGGCATTTGCATGAATACATTTATTCCATTTATAACCCACAATGCTTGGAGAAACTCAAGCATATGTGATTCTCATAACACTTTATGCTCACATCAACCCTGTGAGTTAGATGAGGGTGAGAGATGGTGACTGGCCGAAGTTCACAACTGAACTTTGTCACTGAATGGGAATTTGAAGCAAGCTCTCCCCGGTTCTAATCCAGCACTTTAACCACTCTCCCATACTGCGAGATCGCCAAATCTATTCCCATTCCCTCCATAGCCGTCCCTCACTCTTGTCCCCAGCTTAATATGCGATTTTTTGCTTGTTGTTTCTCACAGTGAAAACAGTTTAATATTCTATACAGTTTAGATAAGAGGTATTTCCATAGTCCAGACAGATGTAACTTTTAAACTACGGAATCTTCTCCTCAATTATAATTCTCATCTTTTGATTTTCCTCTTAAATTCTCTCAGTTGCAATATCCAAACTAAAAGATGTAATATGAACATATTATGCCAGTCTGCATCCAGTTGAAGTCCAGGCCCAGTTGAAGTGCTAGTATTAATGTTCAAAGCCCTAAATGGCTTGGGGACAGGTTATCTGAAGTAATGCCTTGCCCCATATGTACCTACCCGGACCCATTTGGGGGTTGTTCTCAGGGAACCCCCTTGAAAGGAAGTAAGCAGGGGGGCTACCAGAAGGTCCTTTTCAGTTGTGGCAAGCTTTGGAATGAGCTCCCCAAAGAGATACACCTGGCACCTACTCTATACTTTTGGCACCAGATGAAAACCTTTTTCATTTTCCCAGTATTTTAACTTCTTAACTTTAGCTTTGAAATTGCCTTTTATCTTGTACCATTGCTATGCCTCTGTGCTGATCTGGTTGCAATTGCTGTGGTCTTACTGTCTTAATATTTCTCTCTCTCTCTCTCTCTCTTGTTTGTGTGCTTTTAACTTGTGTTAACTGCCCAGAGAGCCTCGGCTAATGGGAGGTATAAAAATACTGTTGGTTAAAAGAAAAAGGAAAAAATGCAACTGTTGGTAGGAATAAGACATATCATGTACTTTTTCTGGAAGCTTGAAACTAACCTTGTCATTACATTCCTGAGGCTGTCACTTCTAAAAAGCATAAACTACTTCACATCTGAAAACATGGTTAAATAGCAAACCAAACTGTACGCCATTTTGGGGGCTTCTCCCCACTTACATTCTGCCAGCTGTTGATAGAGGTTATTTAAAGTGCTCATCAGGGTCTTGCATGGTTTCTTTGGCAAGATCTTCCATGCAACATTTCTCTTATCTCCAGGTCTAGAACAAGAAGAGAATTATTATGGGAAACATGTTCTTTCTGGAACACTTGATCACAAGCAAAGGGGCGTACCTAACCAAAAGGAGATTATCTGGTACAGAAATTATTTATAGTCTTGTTTTTAAATGTGCTGGCCGAAGTTTGGCTTCTAGCTAAGGGTCCTTTGCTGCTGATTCTTCATGCCTCTTCTTTACTCTGCTGCTGTTGGAAACCATGTGAGAAAAAGCAATCACTCCTCTCCCCTTTGCCCCCTTCTGTTAATAGTTCTCCTGCGCCCTCTTTGCTACCACACTAATTGCCTCACTTCTCACCTCCACTCCCACCCTTGCTGCATCCGGTGGTGGGCAGTGTCACCCGTATTTCCTTGAAGCACGTGATCACTGCTGGTATCGAAACCCTGACGTTTTGACTGCATGGTCAGAACAGTTAAGTGATATTTTGGTTTTGGCAAGGGTAAAGTTCAGCATCCAATTGGAGCCTCAACACAGAGAAATTGTAATGTAACAATGTTGCATCGTGGTTAAATTAGGTTGGGGTGCAGTTTATGCCTCAGGCAGAAGCAGTTAGGAGAGGGAGACATCCAAGAGCTCTGAAGGCGGCTGGATGCAAATAACAGGGGACACGAGGGGTCCACGGCTTTGCTCTTCTTCCATCATTTGACCAATCAGCCTCCCACTGGCAGGGAAGGGCAAGCTGGAGCCAGCACATCTCCATATTGGCCTGCCTCCAGCTAAGATAAACTTCTTAGGGATTTTATTGAAGCAATATATACAGATCACAAATCATAAATGATATACACAGGGGGAGAGCAAGAAGAGGCTCAGTTAGTTCATTTCCTTCTCCAACCATTATCTGATGATCTTCCCGTAGCTATTCTAGTAATACTTTGGCTAGTTGCATTAGATTTCTGCACTAAAGTTCATTGAGCAGTGCTATGAATATCATCTTGCAGGGTTAGGAAGTCATTTTGCTTTCCTCATGGACTGGACATGCAGGTCAGTGGGTCTGGCTTTCCAGGGGTGGGCTGCTGCTGTTTGGCACTGCTTTGGGGTTGGACAGGTTATGTCACAACTGGCGCTTCAGGCAGGTACTTTGGCTTGAACAGAGGCTGGCTCAAGGCACTGCACAGTTACTAGCCCAGTGCAGGTAGTTGTTGCCAGCAATTATCTCCTGATTTGGGGAAGGGGAGGGCTATGAATTCGCATTTACAAGCCACTCCTTTTCTGGGTCACCCCAGAAAATGTCATGTTGGGTGATACAAACTGCCAGTCTGCAGCTACTACGTAAATACCCTCTCTCTGATAATAATGGACATTCTCATTCAGTAAAGGTGTGATCTGTTTTCTATCAAGTTCTTGGGGAGGGGTGATTCTTCTACTACCTCAGTCTACCTGATAGGTGTACAATTGGTGACTTAGTAATTGTGGGCTGATCCCTGAACTCAAAACAACATTTTAAAACAAGCTAAAACATTTCAGAACCTCAATCAAAAACACAATGATAGATCATGCATTTGAATGGAGTTCAGCTTTTGATAAAAGCTAATTAAGCTACTGATAAAACAGAGTAAAAGTATACTAACACTGCAGAATGGTTTAAAATCACTCTCATTTTCGAGGGACCACAGGTAACTGTAGTTGTGCGAAGGCTCTAGGAATTTCTCATCTAATTACTGTTCCTAGGAATTTGTAGGAAGGCTCTAGGAATTCCTCACCCAATTACTAATCGATAAGATAAAACTGATTTGTCTAACATATCTGTGTGTGTTTGCATGTGTGTGTGAGGAATGTGAATGTACCCTTAAATGTATCTTTGATTAATGATGTGGAAGTTCTTCTTTCCATTTCCTAGACAGTATCAGCTCTTCCTTCAAAGAGAGGGAAACTACACTAAGACAGAATTACAAATTGAAATCACTTAAATCACAAGCAAAACCGGAACTTGCTCAAAAGATCTGCTTGTTTGTTCACTTACCAGACTGTTAAAACACATTTACTTCTGCAGTTTTCTCCCTTACTGGAAACTATGAATGTCAAGACCAAGAACTGCAGAAAATTATCCCAGTTTTACTTTCAGACTGTACAAGAAGCATCCTTAAAAAGCACCTTTAGCTTTATGAGCACCAACTCTTGTTTTTAGGAAAGTCAGCTGATTTTAGCAGCTCCGAGAAGACTGGTAAAAACCATCCTACATTACTTAGACAATTAATATATTCATGTACTGGTAAAAAGAAAATGGTTGAGGAAACCCACAGGTCTAAGTGATCTCCTAATGCATTATATTCCTATTCTTACGGCAAAGAAAAGTGCGAGGAAAAGCTACGGCTGAAAGTCCATATATACATATTTATCTGTCGATGACTCTGGCAGCATCACTGTAGCTAGAAGACCGTTCGGCCTACGCATGGAAGATGATCCTGCAGGTCTGGAATTCAATATGCAGCCTTAAGCAAGTAATGACACTCTCAGCCTCTGCCTTACTTGGAGCCAATACTCATCTATGCGACAGGAACCCTTTGAGGATCACCAAGACAATATACGAGCAGAGATCTAAACACTTGAAAATGCAATGTGGGTTCACAGCAATTGCAGTAAGTGTAATCTGCCTGGGTGAATGATCCCTTGCAGATCTGATGTCATGGATCAAATGCTCACAGCCTCAGTCGCAATGCTTTTCAGCGGACAAGGTTCACGGGTGTAGCTGCAAGTCGGCCGATACTGGATAAGTGATGTACGCGCCAATTTAAATGGACTTGTAATTGTTTTCTTTTGGTAAGGTGTGGGATGGGTGGGGGAGAAACCAGTTCTGTACCAGCAACTAAATTATGACAAAATGTTATAAACAAGTACTGAATGCTTACTGTGAAATTGTGTTTGTATCTAGGTCAACGCAGCTAACATCTGGTGGAGGGTCATAAAGGTCAAAGTATCTTGAATCGATTCCTACTATGAATGGACATGGTGCGCTCAAAACATCTGCCAGGGCCAAGGGGCAGAGAGGAATGTACGGGCACGGCCAGTGGAAAGGAAATATCATCTTAAAAAGAGAGAGAAGAAGAAATGCATTGTATATAAACAAACAGATGTATTTCAAGTAAATAACCATTCCAGACCATTTCCCACATATTAAGCACTTCCAGCCACAAACATCAGCTTCCTTTTTGGTCACGGAAACTTAACTAGCAGCTGAATCTTGTGAGAAGTGCAATCATTCCTTTCCTTTAAAATGTTGCATACTTTGTTTAGAACTTTCTGGAGGTTTGCACCCAAGTATCATTGCAACAGTGTGAAACTAGATGAAAAACAAGGGAGAAAATGCTGAGGTGAAGATGGCAAACACCCTCATGAGCCCATCTGCACAAACATCCTTAGAAGGGAAGTGCAGAACAACAAACAAAGTATTTAAAACTTGACACTCAGCGTGTAACAGAGGCCTGTACTCAAACAGCAACTGGGGTTTATACAAGGGGCTTGCGCTAACTCAGTGGAATTTTTGACTTTCTTTCTTTGAAAAAATGACCCTCAAGCCAATCCCACAAACCGCATTTGATACACCCCTGCAGTCTGACATACAACTTGTGTTCCAACAAAACAATCTGAATCCCTTGGTTCATAAAACCATTTTTCATGTAGCTGAGGATGGATCCTTGCAATGGTATTAAGTGTACAAACACATTCTGGCCATTTTACATCTGAATAAATAAAGCAATTTATTTATTATTTACATAAACTAATAAATTGAGGATAGATTTTAGTCTCTAGAACTTGGACACTAGAGCAACAATTAACCTTCCCCCACCCACAAATACTTTTCAACTGGGTAGCATTTAAAAACAAATCAACAAACGCTGCTTACAGAGACAAGTGCTTCTGTTACACTGGTAAGCACAGAAGGCCGTAAAGAATGGATAAGGATTTTATGCTCAGTCACTGCAAATACAAGGAGGGTTACCGCATTTTCAGGCCCAAGGTTCTGCAGAAGGGCAGTAAACTTGCCACCACTATCATATAAAGAAAAACAAAACATGATTAGTACTATTTATCAGTTATAGCCTTGTTAGATAGATTGTGCTGAGAGATTCTGTCTGGTCACAGTCATCCGGTACGCAGCCTTGCAGCTGAACAGGTATTTAACACAAGTTTCCTTGATTTAAGTTCAACAGCACAAACACAGTAACTTTAAAATTGCACCGAACTTTTTTTTATAATAAGTTTTATTCAAAATAACCCTAAAACAAAAGAAAACTAAAAACAACATCAGTCATCAGAAACATCGGACCTGCTGGATCAGCCCTCACATTTTTTTCTATTTATGGTAACTTAAAAACATATTTACATCTGTACGAAGTCCCGTTTCTCTAGCCAATAATAAAAAGAATCCCAAGTTTGATAGAAAAAAATTGCACAGAACTTAAAACGGGTAAAGGAAGCAGCTTTTTATCTGGTACTGCCACAACTCTTTCCCTTTTGAACAAAATTGTGCACAAAACAAAAGTGGCTCAAACTCAGACATAATTACCCACAATTGCTGGCTTATCCGGGTGAACAAACCTTTCACACAAGTGGGTAAAACAAACCAAATCTGAATGTTTCATCTGACATCCAAACCTGAACCCCCGTATTATTGCTCCCAGATAAGCCAGGATTTGTTAGCCAAACAAGAAATCTTGGTTTATGCTTGGCTCACAAGCCTGGTTTCTCTAGGAGCCAGAAACCAGAAGCCTGGATATAGATAACTCACAAAACTTTCCATCTGTTCTGTTTTACCTATTTCATGAAGGGATAAAAGTTTCAAGATATTTAGAGTTTTTAGTCTAAAACATCTTCACTGTGAGACAATTGTTTTAAAAAGAAGAAAACTAATTCTTCTTACCCCAAATGTTTATTATTTTCTTGTTGCCTCACATCATTAATTTCTCAGTTGCCTCTCCCATCTCTCAGTACATGAGCTACTGAAAAATGCATGCTTTTACTTACCTCAGTGGCAAAGGCGATGATACAGGCTGACTGAGAATCAGACTGTCATGTGGGGATAGCTGTAAGAATAAGCAACTATTTTAATATTTAATTAATATTTTGGGCATAGGGTATCACTTATGAAAAATCAGAAAAAATCACTATCTGATAGTACTGCGTTCACATGTGAAAAATATAGCAATGGTATGCACAGAAAATAGCTATTAATTCATAAATATATTTCATAAATATCCCTGCTATATATTCCATTTTGACTTTACAGTATATTTGGAAGAGGGTGCTCAAACGGCAAGTATACGCAGGACGAATTCAGTAAGCTTCACCCTGCAGAATGCTGTGGTCACGCACAGGACGACGGGGGAACGCTTGGTGACAGCGGTTTCTTGCATTGTTCCTACATCAATGATGTGAGGAAAAGTTCTACAACTATCGGCTATCTATTGGTGGTGGTGGTAGTTATTCATATTCTGCCATTCCGGATGAGACACCCAAGGCAGCTAACACCAATAATATACAAAAAGCAATATTATTAACAATACATAACAGGACAAAAGGAAATCGACACATATATGGTTTACTCATGTATCTTGAAGATTTCAGCATCGAGTGGCAAACTGTGTATGTGAATGAACTATCAAAGACTGAGTTTTGGTATCATCTGAGATGCATTACTTTTCAATGAATCAGCCGACACATTCTCCTATAGTCATCGTGTGACTCCACAAGTGATATATAAGCATGCATAAACCTGTTCAAATGTCAATGCTTGAACGGACAAGCATTAATTTAAACTTACCTGGACCAAAATTCTTGGCCTCTGTGGGGACGGAAAAGGAACTTTATGCATAAAATGGGAAATGTGCCTAAGGGAAAAGAAATAACAATTTCAGATTAATACAAACAGTGATTTGAAGGTGTCTGGTCACATCTGCGCAAAAGGCCAAGCCCAAATCCTTCGGAATCCTCGTCTCACATTCATGAGCAAGTGTGCCGTGGCTTCCACTCCGCCCCTCTTGCACATGGCATCAGGAACCAGATCCCTAGAAAAGCTCTGTGTTGCATCCAAACCCAGACCCTGCTTTGCTGAACCTCTAACAAGTCTGATCCTGGGAGCCATTTCAAACCCTGAATTCAAACTCTGGCTGGACTGCTTAGTTTAGGCACTGCCACTTGCAACAGAAGCACGTTCTGGACAGCCCCGGCTTCATATTAGGTGTGAAGACAGCCTCTGTAAGAAGAGGCTGCATCAGCATTCGAAAAGAATCAGGTGAAAACAGTTCAGCAAACTGGCACCATTCAGTTACGGTTGGCTTACTTGCATGGACCTTCACAGAGTGCCCCTGCCTGACCCATGAAGCAACGGAGTAGGAACAAGCTGTGAAGGATAACCTGGCAAGTAAGTTAAACAGTGCTTTCCTGCCTCCCCATGCTCTGGCTAATCATTCGTGGCAGGCTGCAGCCTCCAAAAGGGCAGGGGAGACCCACGGCTGTTTCCAGGGGAAGACAACTTTTCCCTTTCGCCTACGCATTAGGCATAATGATTTGATTTATTTTAATGTATATTGTTATAGTTCGTTATGAATTACTTATTTAATTTCTGACGTTAAGCTAGTGGCTGTATTTATCATGTTGTGTGTGGTTATATTTTATCATGAAATGGCTTATCTATTATTTTACATGTTTTATTAACTATTTTATTACTGTACTGTATGCTGTTCTAGCATTCATAAGCTGCCCAGGGAACCTTTGGGTTCTGGGGTGGCACAGATTTGGAATGAAATTAATTAAAATAATAAGATAAGATAAGGAAAATGGGTAAAAATATTCCACAGTACTTACTTTTCAATGGGCAGAACATGTGGACCAGAGATGGAATAACGATACAGAAAGGTAAGAAATTTCTTGAAAACATCAAAGAATGGCCAATGAGAAAGCAAGCAAATGCATTTATTAGTCTGGACTGTTTTGGAGCTAGTGAATTCTCCATCAGGAGTAGCCACAAAACCCAGCTGAGATTTCTGCTTTTCTGTGAGATTTTCCTCAGAATATGTTTCATAGAACTGAATAGCAGCACCATAAACCTGCATATAATAATAATAATAATATATATATCATTTAGCCACCAATACTCTTTCTGTATCTTTCAAATGTTTATTTTGTATGCAAAGAACTCCAAATGACCTACATTTCTCATACAGTTTTACTTTAATGTACTGCACTTCTTGGAATAAATATAATAAATATACATTTACAAGCTCAGAGAAGTAAATATTGAATAAAAAGCTGCTTCTCTGCATGCAGCATCATAGCTCTGGGTGAATGAGCAAGGCACATAAGCAAATAAAGCAAGCAGAGGTGGGGAGCCCACAGTATCTCTGGCAGTTCCACACTTTCGTTCCCCAAAAGTTCTCCATGAGAGGAGGAGGCACAAAGCTTTCAAGAGGTAGCCTAGGAGAACGGAAAGCAAGGAAGAGAAGCGCAAATCTGGCACTCAAGAATTCTTTGAAAGTATGATTTGGATGGAATCTACACTCTTAAAAGATTCTCTGTTTCTGTGTCTATGGCATATATAGCAGATTCAGCTAATGCACCAGCTGAACTGGGGCCTTCTGTTTCTGGGCCTTCCCAAAGCAAAGCAGGCTTCTCTCTAAAACCAAATGTGGACCCAGAATGTAGCTTCATTCCCAACACTACTTTGAAAAAACAGCACCTTTTGCAGAGGGGGAGGGGGGCACTGAGTGATTGAGAGCTCTGCCATCTAATCATAGGGCACATTTTGCCAAGACTCTGCTAAATCAATCACTAAGCTTCAGAGGAGGGTCAGGATGGGACCATGAGATGGACAAACTTCCAGTGCTACAAAGCTGCTGAATCAATATGAGCAGAACCAGCCCCTTTTCTGAAGAGCCAAATTGGGCGCGAAACTTGTGGTCAGTGCACATCCCTAATACACGTTCTTGGTACCCGAGAGAGAAAGGGAAGAAATGCAGATGGCTATGAAGTAAGGAGCACGTCTTTGTACAAGAGAGAGAGAGATTTAAGATCAGCTTAAATCTAGCATTTAGTGGTACAGAGTTATTTCAGAAATGACTTTCAAGGCTTCTAATTAACGGTCAACCTCACTAAAGTGAAATAATTTTAAGTTGTACTTGAAAATTATAGCAAATTTAGCCATACCTTTTCTGCTGAAGCTCCTGTTAGTACGAATGTAGAAAATACTGGGAGAGGGTATTTGCTATTAGATGGCCAGCATTCAATTGTTGCACCCATTGGGAGACAAAAAAGTGGTACCGATTCTGGTAAGGGAAACGAATCATAATCTTCTTCTGGATATCTACATATTAAACCTAGAAAAAGAATTTTTCATGTTAAGGACATGAACTGTAATTTGTCAAATGCTTCACTGAAACAAACATATACTACTTCCTTGAGTTTTAGTCCATGCTCAGCCATAAAACACCTGGGTGATTTTGGGCTAGTCACTTACTCTCAGCCTAACCTACCTCACAGGATTGTTCTGAGAAAAAAAGGAGAAAAAGGAGACTATGTAAGCTGCCATGGATTCCTTGCAAGAGAAAAAAATGATGGGGTACAGTAGAACAAACACACGCACGTGTACACATGCGTGCATACACACTGCTTATGGTATTCCCATGATCTACAAACAAATAACTATATTTTCAGAAATATGACATTGTTCTAGAATTACTTATTTTTTTGGTGAAAACTTGCTGGGTCCTATAATCAAGGCATTCTTTTCTGGATACTCATATTCTAATAGCCAACTTAATAACAGATACTCTTGCCCAAAACTGACATCAATCTGAGTAGTATGCATTTTGGATGCTTTCAAGAGCCTCCTCATCATTTTTGCTTCTCCCTGTCAAAGCTGAATTTAATTCCTGTTGCAGAAGATGACCATGGCAAAATAGCAGTTAATTTGTTTGAGTTCATTTAGACATCTCTCATTTATTTGTGACATTGTCTGGAAATTGAAGAATATCTTTCACAGTTGTCAGCAAGTACTCAAGGAGAATATAATATATATAAATATTTAATTCAGTAACACTTCCAGTTGCTGTTTTTAATCCAGTTTTTTTTGCTGATGCTTGATTGTTCTATATTTTGTATGTTTTATGGTTGCTGCTTTAATCTGTTTATTGTTCTGACTTGCATTCTTTTTGTATTACCATCATCTCCACTAATACCGATCTTGGGTGGTCCAGTGCCTCTTAATTTAGAGGCAAAACAAGGCTTCTCAAAAATAGGACAGAGGTTTCTGAATGCTCCCAGGTATGCAGAAGTATATTCCTTTGTAAATTAAAAGGAAAGGAGACAAAAATAAAACAAACTGAGCTCAGGGGCTTCCATGAATAATGGAATGCTGAGGGTAGTTGAGACAAAGCATGTCACATGTCAAACAGCTTCTAGTATCATTGAGCAGGGAGAAATAAGGGACAGCTCAAAGCATTAAAAGCCTTCTGTCCACCCCACTGAGTTGGTTTCGGAAAAGAAGAAAACAAGCATTTTACTTCGCTAGGCAGCAATAAAATGTTAAGCTGGTCCCAAACTTAGTCCCATTCTATAACACAGTAGGAGAGGTCTGCAGAAGAAAAGGAGAGGAGGAAGGGGAAAGGGGGACGTTTTTATTTTCCCTTGCTCCTGGAACCTCATTACTGCAAGCCCTGAAAAGCTCTATAAGGATCATCTTCCATGCAGGCTAGAGCTCTGAAAAGCACTAAGTTTAGTGCAATAAAACCTCTGCAATATTTTGTTGAAAGTCCCCACTTATTTCTCCTAATTCAGAACTTAAGCAACCTAGTGCCTAAAAGTCTGGCAACAAGCAGGACCAGATCCAGGTCTCTGAGGGCAGTTGAGCAAGGCATCCTCAGTGAGTCCCCTTGCTCAGTCAATCTACTTGATCACGGCCATCAGCAGCTGCTGCTACTGATCCTGTCCCTCTTTCTCATCAGGGCTACCACTTGCCTGGTTCCTAGGCGGAGAGCCAGCGAGCAAGCAGACCCCAGCACCGGCTGCTCCCACTCACCACCATCATTGCCTAGGCCAGAGCAAGAGCCGGATGAACACACAGGTTACAGGAGTGCAAAGGAAGAGCAATTCACTTCTTCTTCTTCCTTCTCTTTCTCCTCCTATATTTTTATTTACTTAATTTATACTGATAATTTTAATCTTATATTTGTAAATCAATATATTTTTTGTATTTTGTAATTAATGGTAATTTATTATGTGCTATTGTATTTCATTGTATTTTATCGTGTTGTAAGCCGCCCCGAGGCTTCGGCAAGGGGCGGCATAGAACTGTTATAATAATAATAATAATAATAATAATAATAATAAAATAATAATTCCTATGGTGACTACGGGTCCTGATGGTTATGAGTGACCTCCAGTGTCAGAGACAGTAAACCTACGTATGCCAGTGCGCATGTCTGGTTTGCTGATTTCCTCTGGGCAGGAGCTTGGTCACTGAGTGAACAGAATGCTGGACTGGGGGACCCTTGATCCAACAGGGCTGGGTTCTGCTCTTGCCCCAAGAGGCACTGTTGGGCATGGGCCCTCAGCACGCAGATGACCATATCAAACCTCTGTGCCAAACGAGTGGTCTCTCCAAATGAGAACACAGCCGTTTCCATATACTTCTAGGACTATGCCGGTAGAGGTAAAACATACTATCTTTGTAAATTAAAATGACAATCTTTAAAAAAAAAAAGAAAACCTAAACCACAGCATGACTCTTTCTCTTTAGCATCCAGGACATTTAACAACTAAGGGATCCAATGAAAAGGGGTGGGGGAAGAATGGGGTAATGAAGGAGCTGGCCTGACTGAGATGCTAACATTAGGTGATGGACAGGAAACGTGAGCTTTTAAAAACTTAAAGGGAAGTTACTGCAAGAAGGAACAAGACTCCTTTCACTTTTCTCACTATTCAGAAATCTCTGGCTTCCTCCTCCCCAGCCAGTCTAAATTTGAGCCCCATATAACACATTTGGGGTTTCCTATTTCCATTTTTTACATCCTAGTATCTCCTCAGCTCCACAAGAAGCCCTCAAACAGTACTGCAGACTCTTGCTTCAGGCCAGCTGAAGCCCAAACAAAAGCAGTCATTTAAGAATCAGGGAACATACTGCAACATTTTGTAAACTGATATTGCAATCCTTTGGATTAGTCGGTGGATAATTTTAAAGTTAAATGAAACATGCACCATATAAAATGGACTGTGTTTCCTTATGTAACATTGTGAAGTTGGCAAAACATCAACATGAATTACAGTATCTGTGCCATATTCTATTTTACGTTACAGAAGTCACCACCAAAAAGGTGAAAATAGTAATGAGAATTAAGTAGAAGTCAAAAGCATTTCACATGCTGACTGAAAGAGAAATATAAAGAGGTAGAACAAAGGAATGTGTAATATTGGTCTGACTAGATTTTTATTACTGTAAACTCCTTTGAGATCACATGTTAATGGTTTGTGAATCATAGCTAAAACAGAGCAAGGACATCTTTTTAAAGTGACAACTGGAAAGCAAGACACCTGCCTTTCATGCACAATCGATTTTAATGAGACACCTATAAATATGGAACTGAAAAAGCAAGTCTCCTACCTCTCATCACCTCTGCCACTGAAAAATCTAGAATTCCATTTATCTCCAAATATATTTAGATGCATCAGATTTCCCTCCATGATGCTCAGCAGAACAGCATATGTGAAGTTCTGCCACTTAACCACTTCAATATTTCTGAGAGGTGAGCTGACAGGTAGTGCTTTCCCACTCCACACCCCTAAGCAGTGATTTTAACTCAGGATTAACTTAAACCAGGGGTCCTCAAACTTTTTCACCAGAGGGCCAGTTGAAAGGTGCCGGTGCCGGGTGTGGGCCGGAAAGGCGGTGCCGGAGGGGGACGCTGGCCGGCGCGGGGGTGGGGTGTGCAGGCACTGAGGCGGGGAGTGGGGCGCGTGGGCGCAGCGAGGGGAGGCGAGGCGAGGCGGGGGTGGGCACGTGCCGCGATGCAGCGGCGTGCGTGCCATGCAGCGGCGTACAAGTCCAAAACTATATCCTCGTGAGCAAGCTGCCGCCTCCCTGTGTGGGGGGCGGCAGGCGCACATGACTCGCGCATGCAGCACGTTGAAAACCTCTGAGGCGGGCCGGCTAAATGGCCATGGTTGGCCGGATCCGGCCCCCGGGGCCGTAGTTTGAAGACCCATGACTTAAACTCTGGTCTAAGCCCAGTACTCTGTTTACTGCACCCCCTGGTTCTATTACAGGCAGTATTACTGCTTTTACCATTCCTATAGCTCTTTATCAATCAGCACAATCCTATTTCCATAGAAACAAAATCAAATCAAGTAACCTGATATTTTCCTCCATGTATTGCCGCATACTGTACGCAATCCTATTAAATACTGCAGCATCCTTTTCAACTGGGCTTGCCCAGGCAAGCTCCAGCAGAAAAGAGGATGTGCTTTTGTACTTGGCAGATTGTACCTGTGTGTCTCCAGAGTATCCCCATCAACTGAGTTGTTTGTTTTAATGTGTAAGCATAGATAACACAGACTCATCCTGCATAATGTCATCCTAAGAAGAAACACTACTGGAACTCCCATTAATTCTAGTAGTGTTTTGCTGGGGGGGAGCAGTCCAAAGTTCTCTTGGATCCACAGAACTAAGTCCATGGTCTTTTGGATCCAGGCCATAATAAATTACAGTCTTTCCATTTGCCATTTCTTGGTCTTCTTGATACTACAGAAATTGCCTTTTGAGGCTTAACATCAGGATCGGGGCCTTATGTGAATATAAACCCAACTTATGTTGCCATAAAAGAATTATGAATATAGAAATGGTTTGTAGCAAAGCTTCTTCTACTGCAGCGGTCCTCAAACTTTTTCAGTACGGGGCCAGCTGAAAGGCTGCGGTGACTGTCTTGGGCTGGTGAGGTGGGGGTGCCTGGGGTGCTGTCGGGCGCATGGGAGGCGGCATCGGGTGCACGCAGAGGTGGCTCGCTCACTCAGAGATCTCCAGCGAGTCCAAAACAATCTCTGAGCGAGCAAGCCACTGCCTCCCCACCAGCGCTGCAAGGCAGCAGCAAGCGCACGCGCACAGGAGGCAGGCAGCAGCCAGATGGATGGCCATGGTGGGCCGGATTCATCCTGCGGGCCGTAGTTTGAGGACCCATGTTCTACTGCGTGTGATGAATAAACATTTTAAAACAATCTGCTTACCAGCTTTATACGATATGGTGTTTGTTTTTGCCACAGACTTCTTATAACACAAGTATACTGCTGATCCCCACTGCAAATGAAGGGAAGCATAGATTAATTAACTTACTCAATAATATAGAAACACAGAGTGCAGTGCTGTAATAAAGAAGCCTAAACAAGCCTGACAAGACAACTTGTATAAGATCAAATTCTGCTTCTTTAAAATTAGTGTGATTATAGTAATGACACATGGAAGCACTCGTGTGTCAGATGAAAGGACTTAACTCATGAGGTAATAACCTATTTTCCTGGGTGAGCTCTTTTACTTGATTCATACTGATATTTAAGTCTCTTATAACCATGCTGGAATTTCTTAACCTATAATTGTTCACTGTATAACCCCTTTTTAGCACAAATGTCATACAATTTCATAATTTTATACTAACTTCTGAATATGCCTGGCAACATACTTAGGGTAAATCAAAATGTATTGTATTCCATTAAATGTTGCCACAAATCCTAAATTCAAATGCAGGAATGAACAGAAGAGAAATTTATCAAGAAATATGTGTGGAGCAGAAGACATATTTGCAGTAGAAAGGGTAGTTTTCATGCGCTATCTGTACCACAATATGTAGAATAAATCAGATTTATGTGATTTTGTACTAAGGCCAGTTGTAATATAACAGTGGTTAAATGCACAATCCCTATTCAGATATAAAAAGGCTGGGAGTTGTAGACCTTCGTCTTAATGTGCATAGGATTGTGCCTTAAGTATAGACATAACTCATCCTAGAGAAATGATGAGCAACCTTCTTACTCAATGGCATCATGATAACTTCAATTTCCATGAAATCTTGTGAAAGCTCCCACAAATAAAAATCTTACAAGCTATTTCCATGAAGAATAAGCTCTGCTCAGAAAGTACATCTCAAGATTGAACACCTGTGAATTCTAACATTTTACTAACTTTATGAATCTTTTGAATTGAAAGGAAGAGAGTTCTGTAACCATTAGCATTATAAGAACTGTGTTCCACCTTCTTCCTACTGTACCTGTATGAAATGGCCCAGAGGAGGCAGTTCAGCTAGACCATTTGTGTGTAACTGGCCTTCTGTAGACCATCTAGAACAGAGTACTGTGAGAGTGCCAAGAAAGATGGGCAGATCAAATATGGACATCCATAGAATAAGTTACTAGGAGAGCCAGTGTGGTGCAGTGGTTAAGAGCGTGGGACTGGGACTCAGAGGATCTGGGTTCGAGTCCCCGCTCAGCCATGGAGCCAACTGCGTGACTTTGGGCCAGTCACAGACTCAGCCCAACCTACCTCACAGGGTTGTTGTTGTGGGGATAAGATGGAGGAGGAGAATGATGTTAGCTGCCTTGAGCCCTTTGCAGGAAAAAGGCAGGCTATAGATCGAAAAATAAATAAATAAATTCAAGCTATGAAGGCTGTGATTCTATGGAACTTAGACCTTGTTGTAATACCTATATAAAACCAACATTCTGAAATCTGAGTTACAAGAAACAGAAACCCTTTGAAGTAACTTCATCTAAAAGCCTCAACATATCAATGAATGTGAATATGAACATATCTTCAGGGACAGAGAGCAAATTCCTATTTATCATACCAATGCCACCATAAGCTAACCGGGCTATCCACATACAGATTTTAGTGTACAAGCATAATGCCTACGTAGTTGGATATGGTTATTTCTTTGAGGAAAGAAATGTATATAAGAATTTCTATTTATCATTGCACTTCAGAAAATCTAGATATAGCCGGAAGACCTGTATCATTCATCAAGTTATATATTAGTCTTCTAGCGGTATCAGTTTCAGAGATGTATTTTTAGGCCATAAAATTCTGGTTATGCTCATAGATTACTTTCAGGCATATTTTAAAAGAAAAATGAATATTCAGATTGACTTGTTTTTTATTGTCACCAAGAATTAGCCTCTGCTTTCAAAAACACCCCATTTGCTCTCTAATCTATTTTTCTAGGAACTGACCTAAAACCACATTTTATCATGCAGAAACAGAACTATACACTAGTGAGATAAAGGAAAGTCTTCAGTTTAACGCATGTGAAGACTTGCTAAGCCCTCTGGGAAAGCCTTTTAGAAAGTAAAGTGCTAAGCAATTTGACAGTGATTTGATCCACAAAAGCCAAAAATTTGGGCAGAAGTATATACTGCCAGCAGCCCTACATTTATTTTATTTACAACATTTATATACCAATTCCCAGTCTGAACAGATGCTGCAGCACGGAATAAGAAGATACAAGAATAGAGCATGATATTAAAACAGAATACCAATAAAATAAAAACAGTGGCTGATCAACTAAAGTCTTCCTGAAGTGAAAGTATTTTCTGGAGGTAGCAGAAACAATATAGCATTGGTATCTAGAGGCAGGAAGTTCCAGAAAAATGGTACTTTCACACTGAAGCCTCTTTTCTGGATGGACTCCAGTTGGGCTATAGGTACACTTGGGACCACCAGGAGCATGCCATTTGATGACCTAAATGACCAAGCAGATTTAAAGGAGAGTAGGACCAGCAAACCCTTCTCACAAGTATCCTGGTCCCAAGTTGCTTAGAGCTTCATACACCAGTACCAACACCTTAAGACACATGCCATCCAGTTTCTGCTTAGCCCGCATCATCACCAGAAATCCATTATATCCTGTCTAGCTTTTAATTTACATGCTTCACCTACAACTAAGTAATGGTATCCAATATCCTTTTTCATGCAACAGACTGGTTGGGAGACTTCTCTTTCTTACAGCACTTTATTTACATTAGAACAGTAAAAAGCAATTAAGTTCCACCAGGGTAAATTGTTCTTATGCAGCTAAAGCCACGTCCATTTAGATGACCTTTTTATACAGTATATGAATCATTAATACTCTGACAATTAGTAACAAGAATATTTAAAGAAAAAGACCACGTTCACTGGAACTTGACATAGGTAACTGAAAGAGACTGATCTGACAAACCATTTGCATGCTGACTATATTAGCCATGATAGCAACAATAACGGAACAGCAATCCTCATGGGCAGCATACTGCTTATTATCAGGTATATGGAAAAAAACAATGTGGCTTAACTGGAAATTATTTACTGATTCATTTCTGCTCTCCATGAGTAAAGGAGAGCAGCTAATTCTGGGAAGGCAGATTTGACTAAACCCCAGAAATACCCAGCTGGCACTTCCAACCAATCAGATGCTCTTCTCACCGCTGCTGCCGCCCCAGCAGGGAACGCTGCAAGACAGGCATCCTGTGGAGGAGGAAAGGAGCCCGCCCACCCGCCCACCCGACTGCACAGAAGGAGGGCAAAGCAAAGTCCCCTGCTCTCAAGCAGCAGGTGCCACATCTAGGCAATGGGACATTCAAAGGCAGCAATCAGTGGAGTCCAAGAGTCAAGTTCACCAAGCTGTTGCAGCAGGCATCCCAGCCAAGCAAGGGGTGTCCAAAAGTGTGGTCCAAGGAGACGGTCAAAGGTCAAGAAATTTGTTTGATCTGAAAAGTCCAACAAGCACTGACGAAACTCTGTTGTCTACATCAAAGAACAAGCTCCAGCTGAACTAATTTATAGCTGGCTGTAAATCAGTACAGCTGGCTAAGCCAGTCAGCACTTTGCTTTTAAGGGAGGCCCCACAATCTGTCTCGTGTTTGGACTGCCACTGTCTGCTTGTAATCCTCCTCCTTTCCACAGGGTGAATTCCCTCTGTTCTGCCCCCTGCCCTTGGGAAGCCCAGGAGCAATCCAGGAGGGCTGCGGGTTGGTCTTCTGATGGAAGGCTGTTGCCTGCACCTGCAGCCCTGCTGCCTGGCTCTCCCCACCTTCTTCTGGCAGAGCTTTCTCCGAGTAGAGCATGACACCAACTGCAGGCATAGCTAGACTCCTCCACGCACAGAGAACAGAACTTCACGACTACGAGGTCCTGTTTCTTCCATGAGTGCAGGAGACCAGCTGGCTCTAGATGGAAAAACAGTTCAGCCCCACATGAGCAAAGATACCCTTCTAGCCAGCCACCTACTAAGAAGAAAGAACTCTCTGTGGAACTGGCCTGCACCCTCGGCTGAGGCCAAACAATCAATCTTAGAATGCCTCATAAATTTATTTATATCCCACCTTTTCCTTGAAGGAACTCCTCTTCCTCCCCTCCATCTCATCCTCCCACCACCCTGTCAGGTCACTTGGGCTGTGAGTAAGTGATTGGCCCACAGCCACCCAGAGAGCTTACGAATTCCTGCTGTAACAGAAACAGAGCGAGCTGTGGTGGGCCAGGTGGATGAGGACGTGTCAAGCTTCCATCAGCTCCACAATGCCAGAGAGTCTCTTTCCTTGAGACATTCCTTTGCAAACCTGAGGATCTCCATTCTAGACTTCTGCTAGCAATGCTGCTACTGAGGCGACTTGCTAAGTGAAGTCCTGGGTATCTTTGTTCAGTGACCTGTTCTGAAGAAGAATGTTGGCCTTCATGAAGATTTCCCAAGCCGTTATACTAGAAGTTGTGAAGGTACACAACCAAAGTGCACAACCAACCTCAAAGCCTCTGTAGAAGCAGCTGTTTCTGCATCCCTGTCATGTAGCTCAGAAGGAAGCTTATCGCACTTGCCATGAAAAGGGAGCTGGAAGTAAGGACTGGGCTGTCTACTCTTGGAACACCAGCTCCTGCATGAAGTCACCCTGAAAAGCATAAGACTTGTTGCAGCAGTGATGGGACGGTCTAGTGATGACTTTTGCCACTCCCTGCACAGGATTTCCTGCAAAATGAGCAGCAAGGGAACTGGTAGGTGAGAAAGAGGATTGCTGCAAAGACCGCCCCTGCTCTTGCCCTCCTTATGCATCTTTGCAAGGTTGAAGGGGCATCCTCTTGGTGCAAGAGCTCCAGGATGCCAAAGAAACTAGAAATCAGCTCTGGGAAGGCTTCTGGTGGGAAGAGTTGTCCCTGGGGCTGCCCGTCCATGTGCTAAGGCAGCTCACATATACAGTGCGGGGCAAACTATCTTCCTCCCGTCCCCGATTCTGCTCGTGTTGTCTGCAGGCTGGCATTCTCATCCCAAAGGAGCAGTGTTGAGGTCTTGCGCACGTGTCCATGTGGTGGCAACCCAAGGCTTGCCCACATGGAGAAGTGTATGGGGGGGGGGGGGACGGTTCTCTGCAGCCCAGCTGTCAAGCCAGGCCTTCCCTTTCCTACTGGGTTTTTGGCCTAGCTTCACAGTGGGGCTGAACGTCTGCCACACCCTCCCGCAACTATCCCAATCTTTTTCTTCCTTCTCTCCGTCCTTTTTGTTTGCCATTGTTGCTGTTGTGGTGAACATGGGAGCCAATAAAGTCTGCCTCCCACCACAAGGCAATAAGAGTAACTGGAGACTTCTGAGGAGGAGTTCAGTCAAGTCTTTCTTCATAGCCCAGGAGGTGGGGCCTCCCAAAACTAGCTGGCCTTCGACGCTCATGGGAGAACTATCATCTACTACTACTTTGGTTGTGTACTTCAAATGGCATGTGCTTGTTTGTTACTGGATTAGATGGACCTTGGTCTGATCCAGTGAAGCAATTGTTAATATTTTTATGTTCTTACCCTAAGGCTTCAATGATAACTTCAAAGTTAGTTTCCTGCGCTGTATTTATACCATTGTCCATAGAGCAAAGAACACAGAGCTCTGCAGTGCAGCAGCAAACCTGCTCATTGCTCATGAGAAAAAAAGAAGAATGAAACAACATGGTCCTGAGGTATCTTTAAGGAAAGTATTACTCTGAAATAACTCCATCTATTCTAAACCTGTAACAAATATTAAAAATCCATGGAGCAGTATTTGGTACAAATCCAGAAGCTCTCTTACCATACTGTTGTTCAGATTCTTGTCAACCTTGCAGAATGTATGGGGTGGGGTTTCTCCCTTACTTGGTATAATTATACATATGTCTGTGACAGCCAACATATTCTGTGTCAAGTTCTCCTGGGCTCTTCGGTACGTGATGTACACTTTTTGCGATGAGGCTCCACCGCTGATATTTGCAGGGTGACCGTATGGAGTGGCTTGAATGATTTTACAGCCCTGCTTTAATCTCTCTTTTCCGTCATATAAAACCCTAGACAAAAAGCAACGCAAAAGCACATGTATTTAGAAAGGCATTAAAATCTGAAGTGGCATCCCACCCTGTCTCCAACCCTCTGCTGCAAATTCCTCCAGGTTTCATCGCAGATTCTGAGTCCCAGGACTGTCTAGTGAGCCAGTGCTTTTCAAATAAAAATAGCTCAATTCATTGCTAGTGCTATCTTAATAATTAGAAGTACAGTGATGCTAATACGCATTACTCACCCTAGATCAGTAAGTGGGGGCTTATCCCTTCCTCTCCTGTAGCACAGGTAAATCTGTGGCCCCACAAGGCTGCCATTGTTGAGATCGGCTGACAGTCCTGATGGAGTTACATCGATGCTTTTGTATCCATGGGGCACTTCCTCCCCCAGAGATTTTATTATGACTGCCACGTCTGTGATGGGTTCTTTTGGTTTTGCAAGTTTGTGACAAGCATCATTGAAGTGGATTTCTTCCTCTAGTGGTTTTGAAATATCAGTCAGTCCTGCCACAACGAAGTAGTCAGCAACTCGAGCACCTCTGTCATCCATCTTCCATTACAGAAGGTTCTAGCTGCAAGTGATAAAGAAGAGTGGAACAGGAGAAGCTTTAATGCCCAGGGCATTGAAAACCAGTAATACCAGGAGTACACTGAGGCGGTGTTCACACGTAATGGCAACCCTTGCTGCAAACCACCCATCCATGGTGAAGCACGACATGCTTCATTTCCATGAATTCCCACAGAGAATCAATGGTTTGTTCTAAGGTTTCCACACTTCACTACTGCTTGTCAATAAGTGTGAATCCAGTTATAATGTTCTTCCATGGTCTCGGCCTTTTGCCACGGAGCTTCTGCATTCCTCCGTTTCTGGCAGTCCCGCTGAGGCAGCTGCAGCCACACTCTGACTGGCTGCCCCTCACTGTCTTCCCAAAGTCCTGCTGCAGCTCCGGAGAGTCAGGCAGCGGGGCCTGACGCCCTGGCATTTCCAGCAGCAGTGACTGCGGAGGCAGCCATCCTTGGTGCTCCCGTCTTGTTGCTGCTCGTGCGACTTTTCTACTCAGGGAGCTAGAGCTTTCTCCTTGTGAACACTTTCTCCTTTACTCAAGAGGAGCACACTGGCCGTGCATGGGCATCGCCATCAGGGCAACTGCCCTGAGAGGCCCAGGCCTCCCAACCTTCTCTTCCACCCTTCCACATAGTCCCTGGCATCCCTGAGGTCAGTCAACAAGACCTGCTGTCCAGTCCCCGCCACCACAGGTGCAGGACAAACACATTCCTTGTGGCCAGCCAGAAAACTTTCCCAGGCAGATGCCCATGGGCACTCCTGGATGTGCTCCCACTGTCCCTGAGAAAGCACCGCATTTTGTGGTGACTTTACCATGTCCTATTCTATGTAAAGCAGCCTTTTCCCTATAATTGAATGAGAACACACAAGGATTCCACTATTTTGTTATACACCCAAGTTCCACCTATAATGATACAAGCACAAGGCCCTAGCGCATGAATGGCTTATCGGGCTTAATGTATCTAAACAAGAATGAATTATCTCTGAAATGAAATGCATTACTTACCAAAATCAAAAATTAATATTTGGCAACATGAACACATTTTGAAGTAGACAGAGTATGTATTCAGTGTAAATTCATACGAAAACCTCAACTATCGCTACTAACTTGTACTCATTTTATCAAGCACAGGCATTTCTCTAAAGCTATACCTTGTTATATAAGCATCTGCTCTTACCCACTTAAATGATGCAACAGAGCTTAGTCACTTGCTCACTAACCCCTCCTTTCCCCAAGGATTTTTTATTTTTGAGTAGCGGTTAAAAGTATAATGAAGAAAACAAATGTGTTCATCACAGAAATATCAGAGTGCCTAATAGCCTGGCAGAACTAATAATTTAAACAGTAAAAATAATCTTATCAATAAGCAAAGAGAGAATGAACTGGGTTAGACAAAATATCACCAGTGTGGGAGGACAACTTGGATATTGACTAGGCATTGGAAGAAGAGAACCTCTCTCAAAGTTGAAAGTGATATGGGAGATCATTGTGCCTACCTCTCTCTTGTCATATTGGGTTTAAGCAGTCTTGTAGTGCTCAAAAACCTTCAGCACTGTTTCTACAGTGGAGGAATAAGAAATCACATGTTACAGGATGAGCTGTAATATTTTAAGAGCTATTTGTCTCTCCTTAACATAGAACTACTTTTAATATCTACCTGAAACACAAGTCAAAAAATATTTTAAAAAATCCAGAGCTGCCCTGTTGGATACATTTCAGACAAGATTTTGGATCTGAAAAGATTTCCAGTAGAAAAACTACATTATACAGAAAGGATAGAAAAAGCAACAAGTACCATATTTAAATTTCTCTAGTAATACTCTGAGGAATACGCTATATAGAATGGCTAACTGGGAAAAGTTATAGAACATTTCTTCTGTCTAAACATACATAGGATTGCACCATTGGACACAGTCACAGACACAATGAAATCAACTCTGTGAAGTTTACAATGAGAGTGACTGTTGGCCCAACATTATCTAATGAGCTTCATGACTGAGCAGAAATTTGAACAATTAATTGGGAATCTTTCAAGACAGCTGAGGATTTATTCTGTTTGTACTATTCATAGCTTTGTCCTTTACATAATGAACCCATGGTTTTTCTTTATATGAAGGCCACAATGGATTCAATTTTTCTGCTTATATCGGAGGATCATGCTCCAAAATGATTTGTCTTTTTAACATCACATGTATATAGAAACATAGAAACAGAGCGAGTCAGAAGGGGTCTCCGGGGCCATCTAGTCTGACCCCCAGCTCCAGGCAGCTTCGTTCATGACATGCCCACCATGTGCATGTCCAGCCTATCCTTGAACACCCTCACCGATGGGGCCTCAAGGACCTCTCGTGGAAGCCCATTCCACACCCTCGGGGTCCTGACTGTCAGGAAATGCTTCCTGGCATCCAAACGAAACCTTGGCTCCCTGAGCTTGGCTCCGTTGGAGAGCGTCCTGCCTTCCTCTGCAGGGGAGAACAGAGTACATGTATATGCACATGCCTTTGGATAAAACATGTATATAACTTGTATATGCCTTTGGATAAAAGTGTGCAAGACTTTGACATTTACTAATTGTATCAATCTGACTTTTTACATGTTTAAATGAGGATTCTATGAGTTACATGCTGCATTTGCTTTTTCACTTTCTTCACTTTATATTACAATGTGTTTTTTAAGTTTTATCTGAGAAGATAAACGGCTTGGGACTAGGATACCTAAAGGAACGCCTACTTCCCTATTTGCCCTCCCGCCCTCTGAGATCAGCAGCAGAAGCCCTTCTCCAGGAACCCTCCGTGAAAGACATCAGGAGGGTGAGCACCCGGAGGAGGGCCTTCTCTGCGGTGGCGCCCCACCTATGGAAAGCGCTCCCCAGAGAGGTCCGCCTGGCGCCGTTGTTATTTGTTTTTCGGCGCCAGGCGAAGACCTTTTTATTTAATCAATATTTTAATAAGTTTTAATATTGAATTTTATCATCATATTTTAACTGCAGCCAGAGTGGGTCGTTAATTTATTTATGTTATGTTAGGTATTTATATTTTATTTGTGAAAGCCGTCCTGAGGCTCTTGCAAAGGACGGCATACAAATATCTTAAATGTCAATTTTTGCATGACATTGTTTTCACTGTGATTTCATCCAGCATTGATTCTTATATACAAATCATTCACAAAGTAATTGAAACAAGTCAGGAAGCATACCTGAACCAATAAAATTGCCTTCACAGTTCACACATGATTTGAGGTTCCCCTCTCTCTTATGCTTCTTTGGCATGTGACTCTCTTTTTGTTGATTGATTTTAAGCTGCTCCAGGAGCCTTCTTCTAGCTGAGGAGGAGAATTAACAATACTTTAAATAAATAAGTGAATAAAATGGCATACCACTCAGAGTCCGTCCGTCCGTCCGTCCGTCCTTCCTTCCAAGAAAGTCAGCTAGACATCACTCACTCTGTTGAGCAATAGCAAACCATATCTCTCATACTCATCATGTCCTACTCAGAGGAAGCTTCCTTCCCTTTATGGACTTTCCAAATGCCAGGAACCACACAGAAAAGCGCTCATTTTGCTGTATGATACGATTTAAATTCCTCTGTTGATACTCACATTTAAATTCCTCTGTTGATATTCACATTTAAATTCCTCTGTTGATACTCACGGGCCAGTTCAAGTACAGCTGAAGGTACATATCGCACTTCCAGCAGCAGGATAAGGCAAGAAACCCTTTCCTACTAACACTAGAATCAATCTACCAGTTAACAACTTTCACAATATTACAAGAGTAGATCAACACAGGTCCATGGTGTGCTTTAGGATCACTAAAGAAAATCCTAGTTAAAAGTGCAACACTAAAAAAGTGAAGAGCTTGTCCATCAATGTAATAATACAGACCATATCAATTCCAGCCCTGTACTGATTAGATGGAAATCAATAAAAGACTGTCTGCGCCCTAATACAATCCCCTTCCCCCGTGCAGACAAAGGGCAAAAGAATCTGTGTCTGTATTTTCTTAGAGGAATGAGATTCCCTCTCCCCAATTCCAAGACTTCTGGAAGTTGATATTAACTGAAAAATCTATCTAATAGAGTAAAAAGTTTTATTTCTTAAATTGAAATAAATAGGCAAGATTTTTAAATCCTCCCCATATAATTACCCATCTGAAAAATAGACCACCCGGGTGTCAATTTATCTAAAGCCAGGCACTCTGGCAGAAGGGAGAAAAGGAAACAAAGATGACTCATCCCCGAGCTCCCAATCCTCTCTCTCTAAAAGCAAGCTACTCCTCCAAAATAGTTAATTCTCACAGACTATGATTTCAATGAACTTCAGATTCTGGAAACATAATTTAATGAGATCTCCTTTTTAAGACAGACTAATTATCTCCTAGTAACTTAAGACTAATTAAACTCATCTGGGATCTTTTTCCAGTTTATTTTTACAAAACCATCATTTTGCCAAGCCTTAGCAAACTCACAATTTCAAGTTAGAAATGTTTTTTCTTTCCTTTCTTGTGAAATGCCAGAAGGCACCTCAAAGCTGTATTTCCTAATATAAGCCTCAAACATTCCAAAACCCAGTAAAGATTGTGTCATTTAAACCTCCTATAACGTCAAAAGGCAATTGCTTAAGAACCCATTTTTGAGAAACAAAAGGAGCATATTCCAACAAAGATTAATCAACAAAGAGCCACATTTGGTCCTATTATTTACAGAGACAGTGTAATCCATTTTCACATTCCTCATTTTAAAAGAATGTTTCCAACACAACTAACTCTATGAGAGAAAGCAACATTCCATTACATTCTTTGGAATCTTCCACTCGTCTTAACAGCTCAGAATTTCTTCCCAAATTTATTTTAGTAATCATACCTTTGTATCCTGCCCTTCTTTGATGGAACTCAGACTGGCAAGGGCTTCTCCATTCACTTCCATAGAAAGGGACTGTGTGTTGAGCCACTTCTTAAATTTAACTAGATGAGAAAGCCTGCTCATTCACAAAACACACCAAGATATGGTCTAAGGTTCAGGAGCTCTAACAGGGAGTCGCACTCACTACTGCAAACATAACGACTTTCTCTGAGTGACAGATTTGCATGTGTGAAGTGAAATATAAACAAGATGCTCTAAGGCTGATAGTTGACTCTTAAATCCGTTATTTGTGCTTCTTTTAAACCTGTCTCAACAACTATTTTGGTCAACTTTAACTGTATCAAGCATGTCGTGGGGTGCTAAGGGTATGGAGCCCAACCATCCAAGCTTGGATTCTAATATTTTGACAAGTGGCATATGCAAACTGATCCTGCAAAGTGAGACACAAGCAATTTTACTATAATTGGGGTGGGGTGGGGTGGGGACCCAGCAGAAAGATCAAACAAAACCCATACATTTAGCAGTCAGCACCCACACGAAGAAATTACCTTTATGATAGTAAAGGTTTAAAAAAAGTTCATGTGCGCTACACATACAGAATGGACATCCCATTCAGCTAATCCTATGCAGATGGGTATTGTATAAAATTGGTGTTCTGATAAATGAGGATTTTATGACTAGCCATGACTATCATGGAAGCTATTTTTATTTATTTATTTAAAAGCTTTCTATCCCGTCCCCTACAAACATCTTATATTTTGAGTAGGTAAGTTCCATACATGGCAGCTATTTTGTGAGAGAACCCACAGTACTATCAAAAATTCCAAATGTGCTAACTGACCCAGAAAAGTTGGAGACTTAGAGACATATAGTGTACAGCCAACATTCCAGCTTTTCTGCCCATTACAGACATCAATTTTCCCCCAGATTATATATTTATATTGGTGTACTTAATCAATCCAGAAGTGAAAGAGAATATATTATATGTGCCACAGAAAATTCAGAGAAAATGTAACATTTACTTAAGAAAAGAAAAGACGAAAGCCAGCACATCTCTCCACTAATCAGCTTACTTCAAACAGTTTCAGGAGCCAAGTACAAAGCCCCTGTTTCTAACGTATATGTCAACATATGTCTTGGTTGGGGTGGGTCAGAAACATATTTGTGCATTCTTTAAATAGAACATGAGATTAGCAGGGGCCCAAAGCGACCAATATAATTAACAAGCCATTAAGTGTTACTAACATCTTGCCTGCTGTCTCCTCCAGTTATTACAGACAGGACAACACAAAAATGTCACAGTCTGCAAAAACAGCTGTTTTTATGTCCAAACAGGTACATTAATCCCTTTGCTTTGGAAATAACCTGTTCTTCATAACCATGCAGAATTCATGGTAAAAAGGTGCTGGGCAAGAAAAGAGAGCCAGTGTGGTGTAGCGGTTAAGAGCACGGGACTGGGACTCAGAGGATCTGGGTTCTAGTCCCGGCTCAGCCATGGAGCCAACTGGGTGACTTTGGGCCAGTCACAGACTCTCAGCCCAACCTACCTCACAGGGTTGTTGTGGGGATAAGATGGAGGAGGAGAATGATGTTAGCTGCCTTGAGCCCTTTGTAGGAAAAAGGCAGGATATAAATTGAAAAATAAAATAAAAATAAAATAAAAAAAGGCAGTCCTACTATGAAGCAATGTGAGATGAGTGCACACTGGATATGTGAAGGAGAGCGGAGTGAGAGATGGGTAGATCCAATCACAGGACAGTGTCAGCAAATTATTCTACCAAGCTCTTGTTCATTTCAACAAGGAGAACTTCCTGAAGGATTGTTTCCTTATTAATCAGCAGTAAAGTGGGTGCCATTTGGATTTTCCACTTCAAGTGTCAAAATGTACTGAGCCAGCTCAAGATGAGTATATCCATACGCATACCATTCCATGCAAGATAAAGTTTTTATAATATCTGAGATTAACTGTGCTTGCTGGACTTAAACATCTTTCTATGTCTTCCTTCACAGAGGCCCAGAATGTCTGTCAACAGGACTGTAACCTGGCAGAGTCATCAAAGTGCTACTCAGCATCAGTATCTGTGCATGATTAATAGCTGCAAGCAATCACTACCTTCCTTTCTCCTCATGTCATTTGAAAGCTTTAATCTACATCTTTAAAAAAGAAAGCAAAGAAAAGCCTTAAAATAGAGAAAAACACAACCTCAAGTTTCCACTTCTACCACAGAAGTCTATTGCATGCAAAAAGACAATATAATTCCTGATTATGAAAGATTAATAGACACTGGACCACCTAACTCTTACTGGCATAGATTTTTAAAAGTCTTGAATTAAATACCTTCCCTCTTCATATAAAAGCTCTACCATTCTTATGGGGTGGGGGGAACTCATCAGCACTCTTCCTAAAATAAAAAAAGCCCAGGCATTTAATTTAGATGGAAGGATAATTCTCTGCCCATATGTTCCTAACATATAAACTCACAAACACACATGCTGTCATCACCCGTAGTGAAGAGTAAAGGAGTCATGGGGCAACCACTGATTTGATTTTCCTGGGAGTCTACATAGATCTTGTCGCTGTCTCCCTGGAAACACCAGGACTGCTCCTTTACTTTTTATATTCCCTCCCTCTCCCAGAACAGTACTGCGTTTGCCATTTCCCAACACATTCCCTAATATTTGCTTGCAATTGCAAAGTTTCAAGAAGTGCCCAGTTAACTTGCTGCATCCCAGTCACCTATGAACCACTTATCCCACTTCCCCAGCATTTCCCCTCTCTGGCCTTCCCATCACAGCCTAAACTATCATCCTATCCTCTATCACCAGTTTTACTTCGTATGTCCGGCACTGTCTTCCTCAAATGGCATCCCGCTCCACCAACACAAAGACAAACAGTAGCTAGTGCCTTCCTCAAATAGCATCCACCCTCATATCCTAATATACACACTCCCCAAATTGGACAAAAGGTACAATATACCCCTGCTGACGGAGGGCTCTGTTCATATGCCATCTGTGCCATTAGCTCTATAAAGATGGTATCCTTCAAATTTTGTTATGGGATCCAATATGAATACCTGACTTAGAAACCTAGAAACAAGCAAGTCAGAAGGAGTCTCCTGGGCCATCTGGTCTGAGCCTACAGCACCAAGCAATCATTCCCACAAGAGTTACTCATTTTGAATAAATAAAATATCCAGTCCCAATCTCACAACTACCATTAACTCTCTACAAGTCATGGGACTCCTTTTCAGTCACTGCTTCAGTGCGAGGTAATAACTACTGACCTATCTTTCGGGATTATTAAAAGGATTATCCTGAGATAGGTGTACTTTATGAAGCACTTATACATCACATTCAGAAAAGAACTCTAAATAAGAATAACAGCAAGGTTCCAATATAGTTCTTGCTTTACATCGGAGAGTATGGCTTCTGACAACAGAATCCTACACATACCTATCTAGAATTCAATGGCTCCTACTTCCTAAAGAATTCCTATAGAATTCCATGAACCTTCCTGCCAAGTAAGTGTGCACAGGGCTGCAGCCTCGAATGAAAATATCTGGAACGGCCTCGCATACAAAAGAGCACAAACTGCAATGCAAGAGGTTACGTGTTGCAACCCAGGCGCCTGTCAACAGACAAGGGGACGTATGCAAAGAGGGGACGCGTGTCCGTCCGACGGACTCAGGCAGGGGATGCATCGCCGGGATGTACCCTCAGCACCGCCGGGGGAGACGGCGCTTGCTCTCCCGGCCACGGAGCATCCCCGCGCCTGCACTTTCTCCCGCCGCGCCATCACGGGGGAAGAGCGAGGGCACGCACGGCCTGGCGGCCCCTGGAAATGCGGCGGCCGCTGGACTTGCTCCCAGCGCCGCTTTCCGCATCCCTTCCTGACCTCCGCTCGGGGGCGACCCAAGCCTCCGCACCTCGACACGTGTACGGGCGTGCTGTGGCAGACATGGGGGGAAAACGTGGGGAGGACCGTGCGCGCCGGGGCTCCCCCGCGGCCCTCGCCCGGCTTAGCCCCCCCCCCCGCCCCAAAAGGCGCGTCGGAAAAGGCCTCTACGAATCGCCGCACGTGAAGAAGGCCGGCGACGGACGTGGGGCAGCAGCCGCACCGCCGCCCGGCCCGGCCGGCCCGGCCCGCGGATCCCGTTATCCCCGTCCCCGGCGCATCCGCCCACACGGCCCGGCAGCGCGGCCTCTCCCGAGCTCCGGCCCCGCACATGCCGGCCGAGCAGCGCCCCCCGACTCCGCACCCGCGAGGAGAAGGGGGAGCGGGCCCCTTCCCCGCCCTGGCTCACCTCGGGCGGGCTCCGCTCCCGAGCGCGCTCCGCCAGGCTGCGTGCGGGCCGCCGGCCGATCACAGCGCGGGCAGCGCCCCTCGCGGCATCGCT